CCCCAAAACCCCAAAACCCCAAAACCCCAGCCAATTCATCACTCATTGAGCTATAATAATTATTCAAAGACTAGAAAATGAATGCATGTGGTCGTTGTTATGACTGAGGAAGAACTATTGGGCCTCTGTTCGGCTGGTGCCAGGCACATGCCTACCAGAATTTCATGAGCCACCACCTCACTCAGCTCCGTGAAGGCATTCAGAAGTGGAGGTTGATGGTCGAAGACCCTAAAGCCGGTAAGTCTTACACATTAGGTCTCATAATTTAAAAGCTAAAAGATTTAGTTCAAAACTTGAAAGTCTTGCTTCCTTTGTAGAAACTCAAGGCAGAATATTTGTTTCCATTAATATCAATTTGCCTTTATCCCTGTGAATATATCCAGAATTAAAGCTAAAACTATTTTAGCAGAGAGTCCTTCAAATATTACAGAGGCTGAGCAATGGCTGCTCAGGAGTGAAGAGTCTCTTGCCAAAATGGCCTTTGTCAATTTATATGAGCAGGCATTCCATTGAGGATCGCATAGTATCGAAGGGTGAGACTACATCTATAACCAAGATGAGTGCCAGAGATGGTACATTCCAAAATTTAAGAATTTAAAGCTACTAAAGATTGATAGAATTGTCATTGAAAAAGACTTCCACATGTACAAGAAGAGGTATACACAGTACTTCTCATCCCCTAAAAAGGACATCTTTAATTTAGAGGTTGTCTCAAAGAGAAAGAATGAGAAGCTGGGATGGTGTCTGCCTCTTATCCTGAGAAATTGTTATGCCTTGTCTTCTTTAAAAATCTTTGGATTCACAATCTCAGTATTGGAGCTAAAGCGTATTCTTCACTCTTCATGAGGACCTTCATCGTTAGAGCTGAAGAACTGCAAGATAGTTTCTAGTGGCAAACCATACCTCCCTTCTGAGAAGTCTAATGATTCAAGCAGGATGAGCAAATTGTATCTCGTATGTTTCTATCAGTGTGCTCTCAAAGGTAAGTACCCCATACTGACCCATAGTTGGTGAAGAAGACCTGACCAGATTGGTTGCAGAATTATCTCCTAGAGCCAAGCTACAGATCTGGCAGTAATCAAGTTTCAATTTAGCTGTGCCAATTTGGGGTTTTGGGGTTTTGGGGTTTTGGGG